TTACCTCTAGACTACGGAGGCCGCTTAGCTCAAGCGGTTAGTCGCTAGATTCCCACCTCGGCGGCCCGGGCTCAAGTCCGGGTCTGGTAAAGTGGGATTTGTGGTGGACAAAGTGGGGCTGGTGCCGGTTTTCTCCAAGTATTTCGGTTTCCTCTGACAGTCTTTATTCCACCAAATTCTCCACCATCATAATCACCCGAGGCAGGCTACAATTGGCCAATCAGTGGCCGGAGTGATGAGTGGACTCGGACTCAACCCCACACTAAGCGAATAATAACAGCCGACAAATTTGCTTCTGCGAAGGAGAATATGGAGTCCTGAATTACAGAACTGTCCTTGGTTAAACTGCAAAGCACGTTATTAAAGAGAAGTCTGCCCATCTTGTGTTTGGCAGGCCGCAAAGGCTGATGTTACGTTCTTAGATGTTCGGGTACAACGTAGATCGCTTCACAGACATGGCGTTTAGGAGACTTGCCAGATGTTAAGTATGACTCATTACGCACTGAGGACTCTCGGTCTATGGTTGTCCTATGTCGCATTTTTCTCTATTATTAATATTTATATTTTACTTTTATTACCCGCCCCCCCTCTGTGGTCTAGTGGTTAGAGTTCCTGGCTACATATCCAGAGGACCAGGGTTTAATTCCCGGCTCTACCAGATTTTTCGGAGTAGTGGGTCTGGAACGGGGTCTACTCAGCCTCATGAGGATAATTGAGGAGCTATTTGAAGGAAATAACGACTCCGGTCTAGAACAGCGACATTAATGGCCGTGGGGATCCATTGCGCTGACCACGCGAGGCACCCTCTATCCGCTAAAGTTGGCACTAACTTCGCCGAGAAGCGGCGGTCGCTCGGTCGGTATAGTTCGCTTGCGGAGTTCATTTTTTTTTATCCGCGTGATATGAGTGATAAGCATAGCAATAATTTACAGGAACCTTCTTCGTCCGCTCGAACTCTGGGATCGTGAGTTCGAATCTCATTCAGGCATGGATGTGCGTGTACGTTTATTCTGTGTGTAAGTACAGGCTTCGCGACTGGCTGATCCTCCGTCAAAAGAGTACTACCAACTGTGTATAGATTAAGAAAGTAAAACAGCTGCTAAGGTCCATAGGAGCTGTAGAGGCATGAATAGAATAGCCTAATCCATAGAAGCCCGTCCACTGAACAAAACAAATGAATCATTAAGAGTTCAGTCATTAAGTGTTCTATCGAGTCACGGTCTGTTAGTTTGTTGCACGGACAGGCCCTCGTGGAGCGATCTAGGAATTATTCCCCTAAGCTCATTTTATATTTCCGATTGTTAATCCTGCAAACCTGATTCAGGAGGAAATTAAGAGGAGATTGAACTCCGGTAATGCTTGCTACCATTCAGTCCAGAACCTTTTGTCTTCTCGTCTGCTGGCCAAAAAATAAAAATTAGAATATACAAAACTATAATTTTGCCTGTGGTTCTGTATGGGTGTGAAACTTTATCTCTGACATTAAGGAAGGAACGTAGACTGAGGGTGTTGAGGAGAATATTTGGACCGAAGAGAGATGAAGTGACAGGAGGTTGGAGAAACCTGCATAATGAGGAACTTCATAACTCGTACTCTTCTCCAAGTATAATTAGAATGGCCAAGTCAAGGAAGATAAGATGGGCCAGGCATGTAGCTCGAATGGGGGAGAGGAGAAATGCATATAGGATATTGGTGGGAAAAACAGAAGGAAAGGGACCACTGGGAAGACCAAGGCGTAGATGGGCGGACAATATTAAAATGGATCTTAGAGAGATAGGATGCGATGGTATGAATTTGATTGATGTGGCTCAGGATAGGGACCAGTGTAGGGCTCTTGTGAACACGGTAATGAACCTTCTTGTTCAATAAAATGCTGGGAAATTCTTGAGTAGATGCAGATTTGGCTTCTCCTCAAGAAGGGCTCGGCTCCGTGAGTAAGTAAATAAGTAACTGTTCCGTACTCTTCTCTTTTTCGTCTTTTACAAGGCACTGGTTCCAAAGAAAATTCTGGTCATACGGTTTCTTACTTATTTGCGCATTCCTTGGCTCTGTAGTCCTCTAAGAAACTTGGCTAAGTCCGTTCTCTTCTATTATTGGCCCCGATCTCTTCACTTTCATCCCTCGGAAGTCATTCTTTACATCTTTTTGAAGTAGAGAGATACAAAGCGTTGTTTTCCTAACCTTTGTATAGCCATGTCTGTAAATTATTCGCCCGGTATACATCGTTACAGCCTGTAACTTGTGTTATTTATTGAGGTGAAATTATTAGTCACACACCCAACCCAGAACATTGTAATGTTTCGAAGTTTTACTGATATTTAAATTGATGAGAAAATCTTAAGATTTCTTGTTTTGCCCGAAACGAATCTTTCGTTAAGTAGATTATGTACTTCGATGCTTGGGATGATTGATAATCCGGTGGTTATGAACCGGGCTTCGAATCGATCTTTCAGAGTCGTAAAATTAGACCGTCACCACAACATAAATAGTCATCTTGCATTTGAAAATAATAGGTATGATTATATAACTTATTTTTTGATTATGTAACTGAGTATGTGAAAGTCAAAGTCACATTGCTACTGACGGTCAGTCAGTCAGTCAGTAATTAATTAATGGGGCTCATGACCAGATATTAATTGCTGTTTCACAGTTACAGTCTTGTTTTCGTGGGGGCGCCCTCTCTGGCGAGAGGACGGGTCTATATTTTGTATATGCTGCTGGTCCTTGCCAGCGCAGTTTTTTCAGCCCCGAGTCCCATGGGATTTGCGACCATATTTTACTGTCTCAGATCTGAGACTTCCTTTTTCGTCGCCTCATACGACTCGCAGGGTCACGGTGGAGGTATTCGACCCCTCTAAAGGAGTATGCTACATGTTTCGACCTATTTATAGGTCATCATCAGGCATGTTCCAAAAGAAGCAGAGACTAACTTTCTTGAATTGGGTTATCCTGATATGGAGTCATATTATGCAGTTGGTAGTTGCTGTTATCTGGCGAATATACCTTTCGATAATAGTGTCACGTGTTAGGGGTTTGCGTGACTAATAATAAATGATTCTTGATTAGTTGACCGGATAAATTGGCACTTTGGTTACAAGTATAACAGCTCACAACCAATGATTGCCTAAGACTCGCTACATTCCTTACTGGACTACGAGTGTCTTCTCTTTTCATATGACTGACTTGGCTCTCATTTACGCATCGGTCACTTCTCCATCTTCCGTTGTCCGCTGGTTAACTCCACAGCTGAACACTCAACTCTCTTTATGACGGAATTACAACTGAACAAACTTACAGACTAAAGGAATATGGGTCACAATGTTTTACAGTTCCTCGATTATTCTGTTTCTCTCTATTTATTCGTTGCCACGAGAACGTGCCCACCGAACCTTTGCTCATCAATGGACTATTCTAGCTTGTTATCACGGAAAATTTTGTTAGCCAGCCGTTGAGTAGCAATGGACTGTTCTGGCTTTCAGGCGTCATGTCACAATTTAACAGATGTGTATGCATGTATGTGTATTGATGTTACATGGTTGTTATTAATGATTAAAACTTACATTGGGGATTAATGAAAATGTATTATTAATGTAATGTGTCCAAAAAATTGGAAGATACCTATTTGTGTTGTGTTGACGGTATAAATAACATGAATATTAAACACACAACAGGATGAAACCCATAAAGATCTTTTATAGGCCATTGCTTTACGCTCCAGCCGCTATTTATCCCTGGTACACATTTCTGTTAGAGGCAGAGTCGACCCCAGGGCCGTAGTGCTATTGGAAGGTTTAGGTAAATTTGAAAAATCCAACGACATATGGAATCGAACCCACGATCTTGCGGCTTGTAGCATGGTGCCTCAACCAATTATGCTACCGCATGCCCCCTGACAAAAGGGAATATTTTTTAATTCGCTTAGTGGGGGGTGGAGTCCAGCTGGGTCCTCTCGGCACACGGCGGCCACTGATTGGCCTATTGTACCTGCCCCGGGTGATTATGATGATGTAGAATTTGGTGGAATGAAGATTGGAAGGGGAGACAGAAGTCCTCGGAGGAAACCGGCCTCAGCGCCACTTTGTCCACCACAAATCCCACTTCACCAGACCCGGGCTCGAACCCGGGCCGCCGTAGTGGGAATCCAGCGACTAACCGCTTGAGTTATCTCGCGGCCTGACAGGAAGGATACTTAACGCTTAATGCGCGGGAGATGAATATTTTGGGGAAAGTGTTAGGACAAATTACTGAAGAAGGCCTTTACAGCCAAGAACTGAGGGAAGTGCATAAAACCAAATCTGTTAGCAGATATTGAAAAGAGAAAGTCGGGGTGATGTAGCCTGTAATTAGAGTGGCTAACAAAATTTTGGAAAGAGAGATGAAGTGACAGGAGGTCGGAGAAAACTGCATAATGAGGAGCTTCATAACTTGTACTCTTCTCCAAGTGTAATTAGAATGATCAAGTCAAGGAGGATGAGGTGGATAAGGCATGTAGCACGAATGGGGGAGACGAGGAATGCATATAGGATATTGGTGGGAAAGCCAGAAGGAAAGAAACCACTCGGAAGACCAAGGCGTAAGTGGGTGGACGATATTAAAATAGATCTTAGAGATATATGATGGGATGGTATGGATTGGATTGATATGGCTCAGGATTGGGACCAGTGGAGGGGTCTTGTGAACACGGTAATGAAAATGCCCCAAAATGCTGGGAAATTCTTGAGTAGCTGCAGAATTGGCTTCTGCTCAAGAAGGTCTCAGCTCAGTAAGTAAAAAAATTTGGAAATAATTCAGAAGGTAGAAAGAACCTGAGAAGCCCCAGACTGAGATGGGAGAAAAATATTGAGAGTGATTTACGAGAGCTGGAAGTGAAGCGATGGAAGGAAAAGGCAAATACTAAGGAAGAGTGGACATCTGTCACGAAGGAGACCCAGTTTCTGGGAGGACCACAGAGCCCAACAGTAAGAAGTAAGTAAATACATGAACGGTTTTCTTTGTTGCAGGTTAATGGTCACTCCAGCTCTAGCAGTGCTAATATACAAAGCGTTGTTGGTGAAGCACTGAAGAAGACCGTAAGTAAACTGTTTTATTTTAATGAGTAGATATCAGAATGATTGAAAAATTGCAGCGTGAGCTGTAGATTAAATTCCCTTATATGCATGTATCATATTGGTGGGAAAGCCATAAGGAAAGAGACCACTAGGTAGACAAAAAGTCGAGGGGTGGATAATATTAAAATGGATCTTAGATAGGGTGGGGTCTTATGGACAAGATCCATCTGGCTTAGGACAGGGAACAGTGGAGAGCTCTTGTGAACACGGTAGTAAAACTTCTGCTTCCATAAAATGGTGCATATTTCTTGAGCAGCTGAGCAACTGGCGACTTCTGAAAAGGGCTCAGTTAGTTACGTGAGTCTTCATTTTTCATACCGTACGATGCGTCAGTTAGTAACGGACAAGCTTATTCATCTGCCAAAAGTGTTATTAGAGTTTCCTTGGATATGTTCTCGTATTTGTTTTGAAAGCAATCGGAAATTGATCAGATGTGAGGTTCTCTGAGCTATGATGCCGCGCAGTCTGGTAGAAGTTTACTGACGTTCCTCCGAAGTGTCATCTTCTACCAAACTGCACGACGTCTCATCGCAGATTGGAAGCTGCATATACTTTTTATTTTCCCTTTATTGCAGGGGAGACGCCGTAGGGTAGTTGGTTGAGGAACTATGGTACAAGCCGGAAGGTCGCGGGTTCAAACCCCGATGAGATCATTGCATTTTTAAATTAACGTAATTCTTTCAGCAGCATTATGGCCCTGGTGTCGACTCAGCCTCTAAGAGAAATGAGTACTAGGAAGATTTCTGGGGGTTGAAGGGCGGCCGGCGCGTAAGACTGACAACCTCACCGCCGTCTGTGAGCCGGCTGTCTAGTAAAAATGTGTGAGCCTCGATCTCTCACAATCCTATGGGCCTCCACGGTCTGTTACAGGGATAAATTTACCTCTTTACTGTTCATATTTTCCTTTTATTTTCTCAGTCTCTACTGCACAGTTCTCACATAGCTGTCCCTCAGTTTGCTTGTAGTGGGATAAGTTAGGTGTTGGCGCGTCTGCCTTTTTGGATATTGTGTTACCATTTAATTAATTTCTCATTTACAGTGGCAATATCACAGTGACAGGAAGATTCATTTTAGGTAGTTTCCATGCTTCTAGGGTGTTAGGAAAATACAAATAGGCCTGTGAGTTAAAGACCGAATTCAAAGATGGAACATTATGATAGCGAAGCAAGAGTAAAGTCTCGGATATCTATGCGACTTATAAAGGCACATCACGGGGTTCAACAGAAGTGAAAGTGTCCATTTGCCTTCAGTGCCAAGCCATTCGAAATATACCCAGATAAGAAATGACTGTCGGGAAGGTAAGGCGCAGGCGCAGAACCAGGTAAATCAGTCTCTTAATCTTTGCCCTGCGTGAAAAAGTATTATGTGTTACTCTGCGTTTTAAATATATTAACGTGCCCTGCTTGTTCATATTTCTGGAAACATGTTAAAAGAAAACTCCCTGGCTTCAGTCATCAAGCGAACTATACCGACCGAGCGACCGCCGCTTGTCGGCGAAGTTAGTGCCAACTTTAGTGGATAGAGGGTGTCGCGTGGTCAGCGCAACGGATCCCCACGGCCGTTAATCTCGGTTTTCTAGACCGGAGCAGCTATTTCCTTGAAATAGCGCCTCAGTTATCTTCACGAGGCTGAGTGGACCCCGTTCCAGACCCATTACTTCTCAGAAAATCTGATAGCGCCGGGAATAGAACCCGGGACGTCTGGATCTATAGCCAGGAACTGTGACCACTAAACCACAGAGGCGGTCTCTGGGAACATCTTAGTATAATTTATTAAAACACAATGGTTCCCGCATTAGAGATTATGGGTCTGCCGCCTCCGAAGAAGAGAAGGAATTTTTTGCCCCCAGCCTTATGCCACGAGATACGACAGAACCGCAAACACGGCCACAATACATCTTCCTTAGAAGTTCGTGTTGATGCTGTTGTGGTGGCCACACTGGTGGCAAACCCGCGCACAATTCCTTTGAGCGTCAGTGCAGCGCGGACGGGGTATAAAATCGACAAGTTTCGTTGTAAGCTGTTATCGTTTATTTTTTGTTGTTTGAAACTTGAAATGGGGGCCGTTATAGGCCAGAAAACATTCGAACGCGATTTAAATAAGCAAATTCTCAAGGAAAAAAAATAGAAATTCTTAACAAACAAATCAAATTATTACTGTAGGATTCTGACGATGGTGTATAACACACTGATATATTGGGTTTTCGTACTTTATCCATCGTCCTGGTTTTTAAGATAACTAATAAAAACACGACGTTTCGGAAACTGGATCTGTTTCCGTCCTCAGGTGAAGGAAAACACTAGCAATCCAGCGATTGAGGCTAGCTCTTTCTAACGGACCCAACAGAATAGGTGTTTTCCTTCACCTGAGGACGGAAACAGATCCAGTTTCCGAAACGTCGTGTTTTTATTAGTTATCTTAAAAACCAGGACGATGGATAAAGTCCGAAAACCCAATATATCAGGGCAAATCAAATCATTTATAACGAATAGATATGTTTCCTCTCTATAAAATGCAGACAAGAGCAGAGTTCGTTCGTGGCTTCAGTGACGTCTTCAGAATGAATTTTAGGAAGCTTTTGGTAAACAGTTAAAGGATGCCACACGCACGGAAACTGAATAGAGGCTTGCTTTTCAGCCTTCAACATTGACAGAGCCACGCAGCCGTTCATACAGAAGAAATATATTGAATTCGGAATGGCTACAGACAAAATATCCGTTCTTAAGCAACGTGGATTTTGACGAGAAGCGTAAACCTCCTTATATCTCCAGTAAGATGTGTGAGGTGCACGAATAAGACACTAAGAACGGGATCATTCTTTTGGCGGGTGTTATTAGCGTCGAAAGCAAGCAAAGTGTAGAACTCTCAATGTTCATTTGGAATCGAAGGATCATGAGACCGCAGCTGGCCACCTCTGTGGTCTAGTGGTCAGAGTTCCTGCTACAGATCCAGAAGTCCCTGGTTCGATTCCCAGCGCTACCAGATTTTCTGAGAAGCAGTGAGCCTGGAACGGGATCCTCTCAGCCTCGTGAGGATAATTGAGGAGCTGTTTCAAGTAAATAGCGGCTCCGGTCTAGAAAATCGAGATTAACGGCTGTGGGGATTCATTTCGCTGACCAAGTGATACCCTCTATCCGCAAAAGTTGGCACTAACTTCGCCGATAAGTTGCGTTCGCTCGGTCGGTATAGTTCTCTTGCGGACTACAGACTACGGAGTATCAGGCCGCAGCTGGAGTAGCTGCAAGACTGATAGAAACACTTATTGCTCAGTTGTGGCCAACGCGCTCATTACCGACGTTGCAAGTATAATCCAACCAGTCCTAGCTAAGTATCTATTCTATTCGATTATCGCTGTGCAGCCCTTTGTTGGGCCTTGGCCGCTTCTTCAGGTTCTTAATCTATACACAGACGGTGGGATTCCTTGGACGGGTGATCAGCCGTCGCAAGTCTTCTCTAGTTCTCTGCCTACACACAGAACAATACAAACACAGAATAAACGCTCACAGACATCCATGCATCGAGTGGGATTCGAACCCATGACCCTAGTGTTTGAGCGGTCGAAGACTGTTCATGCCTTAGACTTCGTGGTCACTGTGATTGAGAAAGTAAAACAATCTCCACAAAAGGCCATGGGGGCCCATAGCGTTGTGAGAGGTCGAGGCTCCCACATTTTCTCTAGACAATCGGCTCAGAGATGGCGGTGAGGTCAGCCTTATGCCTCGGCCGCCCTTTACTCCCGAGAAAGATTCCTGGTACTAATTTCTATTAGAGGCTAAGTGTCCATAGTACGGATGGAAGTATTAGGTTAAATAAAAAATCCAGCAACTTCGTCGGTAACCGAAGCCGCGACCTTCCGGCTTGTGGCATAGTGCCTCAACCAAGTACGCCACCGCGTGCCCTGGTTCAGCTATGCCCTTACAGATATTCTGTTGGAAGTAGTTTGCTAGATAGAAATGAAAATTGTGCAGCTCTTAGAAGGGTTGTTTGCGTCGCCCTTGAAATCGATGGTGGCGCGGGTCGGTAAGGACAATAAGGTAATCTTTTTAGCTCGTCCAGAGAGAATGTCGAGGCGAGACCTGGCTTGCCTTCATCGGACCGATACAATCTGAAGATATATCGGAAGCTGCTTTGGAAACCTGTTAGTCGACCTGAGCGTCGCCTAAGGTGTTAATTGCTATTAGAGCAGACGGCGAAGCTGCCAATACGGGACGCACAGGCAAACTCCGGAAGTTCTCGATGATCAATGGGCATGGTTTAATGACGATGTAATGTTGGTATAGTCGATCATATTTGGAAATTGAAGTTGGGCCTGATTTGAAACAGTGGTTGAAGAGCGTTTTCTGGTTTAGCGAAGTATTTTGAAACAACAACTTCAAAATTGGAGAGAGGGAAATTGCACGACCTTCTTCAAGGATTCTGAGCGTTTCTTAGGTGTTTCGTGGTCGGGTTTGCTGAACACCTGATGAATCTTACGTCGCCACTTTGACGCAGAAATATTTGGGTACATTGGACTGATTCGACCAGTGGATAGAGACGACCTATCTTCGTAACAAATTACATTAACAGTTGGTGTCGATTGATTTTTTACAGTCTCACGTGCAATGCGGTGTTCTATAAAATTTATTAAAATGTATTCACTTTAAAAGTCCATAACTACATGTTTGGTCAATACCCCGTGTGGAGACGGGGTCGAATACCTCCACCGTGACCCTGCGAGTCGTAGGAGGCGACAAAAAGGGAAGTCTCACATTTGAGACAGTAAAATATGGTCGCGAGTCCCAAGGGTCTCGGATCCGAGAAAGACTGCGCTGGCAAAGCCAGCAACACATAAGAAAGAGAGACCCGTTCTCTCGTCAGAGAGGGCGCCCCACAAAAACAAGACCGTAAGTGTGAAACAGTAATAAATACACCAAGACTTACTGACTGACTGCCTGATCGACCGTCAGTCGCAGTGTGACTTG